ACTCTGAATCCACAATAAGAGTGTCCCGGGGGAGTTACACCAGCAAAGCTAGAGCGGTTTAATTATACTGGTAAGATTCTCCATGTAGAGAGAAGCCCTGGCATAAAATTTTCTTCCCATCAATGCTCTGCCTGTCCTTCTACATCCCTTGTCACTGGAGTATGTGAGCATGTCGCAATCATTAATGGGATTTATCCTCAGACACTCCTGACGTTCATCCTCATTTCACAGATGGGGTAACTGAGGCATAGAGAGAGACTAAGTGACTGAGCTCAGGGCACGTAGGAGTCTACAGTTGAGTCAGGGGTTGAACCCAGGACTCTTGAGTGCTAGTCCACTACCCTGGCCACTAGATCATCCTTCTTCCCCTCAGCCCCCAACCCTCAGCCCTCCCAAAAGTCTGGGTGACAATGATCAACCTAGTACCTGCCTAGGAGGCCAATGACCCTGGGCTATTTCACCCGAAGAGGGGAAGAGCCTGGATGAGACGGGACTGGGAAACAGGGAAAATGTCTGAGACACATGCTGGGAAATCTGCCCCAGGGTATTTAATTGATCTCACAGACAGTCCCACCCCCTGTTTCTTCTGGGCTAGATCCTGCCTCACTCTCCTGGGCTAAACCCCAGGCCAGCCAGGGTAGAATTAGACCCTTCTCCCCGTCCTGCAGGGTATATTGAAGGACCCAGATACTGGAGGACTAGAGAGCCACTGGCTGCTGCTCGGGAACTCTCTGCACACCCAGTCCAGCTGCTCTGTGCGGCTGCTCAGGGAGGAAACCACAGCACGAGCCGACAGCGCCCTGAGCATCTGCAGAGTCTCCTGTTCAAACACCTCTTCCCCCACCCAGCAGTGAGCTCTCCCCAGCCTGACCATGAGCTAGCAGCCCAATGGGGTGGGGGGTGTCACATGCTGTGATGTGGGATTAAATAACCCGCTCACACAATGTTATTTTTGTCCTCACACGTTAACTGCTTCATTCTCGCTCTCTCTCCAGTTAGTCTGTTCTCTGAGGTTTCCAGGGCAGTTTATTTTCATAGTTGCACATTTAAAAGCCAGAAGGGACCAATGGGACCATCTAGTCAGTGCGTCCACCGCACAGGCCAGAGATCCTTCCCCAGGGATCCCTGCATTGAGCTACTAACTTCTGGCTGAGCTAGAGCCTGTCTGGTAGAAAGAGACGTCCCCTCTCGGGTTAACGACCCCAAGCCGGCTCATGGTTCTAATCACTAAGGTGACTGTGGCTGATCAGTGCAAGAGGAGACCAGGGGGAAGGGAGATGCTGGACTGGGACAGAGCAACTGGAGACGGGCTCCGAGGTTTCGCTCCGCTGTTGTTCCTATTCTGAACTTCCCCAAAGTTTGTGGGTGTGGACTTGGGATTCTGGTTTGGGCCTATCATAGAGACAGCCCCAGGCCACACAGTTAGGACCTAAACTCCCCAAAGTCCTGGTGTGGGGACTGTCCCTCTGAGACCAAAAGCACAATAGGTACCAGAAAGGATGATTTTCAGTTTTCAGATGCCAAAACCAACATTTCCCTCCCAGTTTTCATATTTTCAGTTTGTGATGAAAAGTTAAACTTTTATTGCTGAAAATTTCAAGGCAAATTCATCTAAATTTTCCCCAGGAAAATCCATTTTCTGCCCCGCCCAGGGTGCACCATGTTTAAGCCCTCACTGGTTCCAGGTGGAATCTGCCAATGCTTTGTTCTGCCCTGTGTCTCTGTGAGCTCCTAGATCATCCTCATGTTCCCATTACACCTCTGGCGCTTAGGGCAGTGACAAAGCTCCTCCACTCCTGTCTGTTTCTGGCAAGTCTTGCAATGGTTCCTCAGCTGCTCCCCAGGTTTTTCAGCTCGGCTTCCTCAGATCTTCACCATGTTGTTTTCGGGCGGCCTCATTTTCGCTTGCCTTTAGGTGTCCACCTTATTGTTACTCTGGTGATGGAATTAGTTTCCATCCGAAGCACATGGCTAATCCATCTCCAATGCCTTTTGGTAATGATGGTGCTCAGATCCTCTTGGCTGCATTGTGTAAATGGATCATGGTCTTGAGATTGTTCTGTGCCAAAAGATATGGAGGATTTTTCTGAGGCAGGTTGTATGGAATCAAGACAGTTTGGACATGTCAGACATTCTCATTCCCCAGCATTCTGCACTATAAAGTAACGTTGAAAGTACGCAGCTCTGATAAATCTATGTTTGGTTTTGGTGTTGTATTCTGATGATTTCCAGACTGTATTTAAGCTCCTGAAGGTGTTCCTGGCTTTACTGATTTTGTTCCGGATGTCCTGGCTTGTTCTACCATCCTGGCTGATGGTCCTGCCAAATATGTGAATGTTTCTACATTGGTGAGAACATAATCCTCTCTCTGTACTGGTGATGGTGAGTCAATATTAAAAGTCATGATACTTGTGTTATTGAGATAGATTTTCAGTCCACTTTGCTGGCTGAATGCGTTGAGTTAAGTTGTTTTTTCTTGTCTATAGTGTTGGGTATGTGATAGGGCTCAGCTGGGCTGTAGGAGCTATGGATTCAAATCACTCCTCTGAATAAGGAAGAGAAAAGATTGAGTCCACATCTCCTACCTTCCAAGTGCTTTAATCCCCAAGCCGGAGAGTCGTTCTTGTGATCTTTGGCCCAAGGAATAGCAAATTATTAGCTGAAACAACAAGGAGTCTGGTGGCACCTTAAAGACTAACAGATTTATTTGGGCATGAGCTTTCATGAGTAAAAACTTCACTTCTTCGGATGCATAGAGTGAAAGTTACAGATGCAGGCATTATATACTGACATATGGAGAGCAGGGAGTTACTTCACAAGTGGAGGACCAGTGTTGACAGGGCCAATTCAATCAGGGTAGAAGTAGTTCACTCCCAATAATAGATGAGGAGGTGTCAATTCCAGGAGAGGAAAAGCTGCTTCTGTAGTGAGCCAGCCACTCCCAGTCCCTATTCAAGCCCAGATTAATGGTGTTGAATTTGCAAATGAATTTTAGTTCTGCTGTTTCTCTTTGAAGTCTTTGAAATTATTAGCTGGTACATATGGGTCAAACACACACTTCTGAAGCAGCCTGAACAATGTATTTAAAACCTTTGTCCAATGAAAACTATTTGGGTCAAATTAGTGAATAGTTTTGTTTTGGCCAAACCTTCATTTTTTGGCAAGTAAACTGTGCAGAAATTTCCGCCCAGCTCTACTTGTGAGAACACAAACGGTTTATTGCTGTAGGGTTGTTTTCCAGGGTCAGGACTGCACACAGAGTGGTTTATTTCAAGGTTTGTGACTGCTGGGGTTGCATTTTGATTTATTTTTGTAGGTTCATCCATGAGCACTGTGACACTTTCCATGTGGGATTGTTATTGTAGGGTTGTTGATAAGTACTGAGGCTACTCATATGTTGGGACTGCAGGCACACTGGTTTGTTATCATTGGGTCTTTTTGTGAGCTCTGGGAACCACTCCTGCTGCTTAGTTATTGTAGGGTTGCTTGTGAGTGCTGGGTTTAGTGGGGGAGGGAGCAATCCCATTGGGTGTCCCCTCACGTCAGGACCCCCACACTGTGACATGTGACTGAGGAGAGCGGGGGCAGTGGCCGTCACATCAGTGGACACTCCCTGAATATGCTTCTGGAGAAAATGAGGCCGCGTCCCATCCCAGAGTCTGTGCCCTGAGCAGAAACCTGGGCCCTTGAACCTGAGATGTCAGGGAATTCCTGGGAGCGGCGATCTAGACCCATGAGCAGGAGCAGAGGCAGCAAGCTGAGCACACTGGATTTTTGAATCTTTTTTCTATTGGTTTTACACTTGGTGTGTTTGGCAATGTCAGTGCTGGGTTATAAGATTTTTATTTTTTATTTTTTGCAATAATGTTGCTTCTTATGTACACTAGCTTGTTTACATTGTGGTGTCTTTCGGATGCTGAGGCTGCACATGCTGCTTTGTTATTGTAGGGTCAGACACTGAGTCTCGGCACACACTGGTGTGTTGTTATTTCCATGTCTGCTTTCAGATTTGCCCTCCTTGCTGATACCCATGTTAAGCACCCAGATGTTATTTGCCCTGGCTTTAGAGGGGCAAACTGAGGCATCCAGACAGGAGGGGACTTACCAAAGCTCACACAGTGAGTCAGTGCCACAGCTGGGAATAGAACCCAGAAATCCACCAAGCCTTGGGTGTTAGCCCCAAGATCCTTCTTCCCACACTCTGCAATAGAAAGTCTCGTGTCTTGTCAGTGCACAGAACTGACACTATTTGCCATGGAAGCAAAATATAGCCAGGGGCTGGAATCTGTCTGCATTGTGGTGCATAGCTGCGGTTGTGTTAAAGACATTTGTGTTTTGACAATGGAAGGGATGACGCATATACTGTGGTTTTGAGTGAGATTTAATGAAACAAAGCCTTAGTTATAATCTTTAGTCAGTGATAGACTGTTTGGGGTATTGTTTGTACTGTTTGTGTCTCATCGCACACCCCACTGGGCCAGCCAGTTCCCCCAACTTGAGACTGGATCAGGGCCTGAATCCCCTCTACTGGAAAGGCCCCATATCCCATTTCATTTCTGGCTGACACTGGAGGGTTGAAGCCCTGGTTCTCTGATCTCTGTTTTTAGCTGAAGCTGGCATGAGATTCCCTGCTGGGTGGTGGTTGTGGTGTGTGTGTGTGTGTGTGTGTGTGTGTGTTTGTGTCAGGATGGAGTCAGAACTGAGGGGAACAGAATCAGAGAAATTTTCCTGTTGAGAAACCAGCCCTTTCCTAATGCCGAATTTCTGGAGAAGCTGCTGTAGGGGTGGCCACAGGGATGTTACGCGGGTGCTAATAGCAGGGGAGGTGTCTGCTAGACGGTCTGTCTGCTACTGTCAGCTCCACATAACAGAGAAGTTCATGAAACTCTGGTGTAGAGAAAAAAAAACAAAAGACAATTTTTTCACAGTTGCCATTATAGCTTTTGCCAGAAGATGGTGGCATTAATGGGTGACTAGAAAAAATAGTGAACCAAGGTAGGGGAGGTAATATCTTTTATTGGACAAACAACCCAGACCCCTCCCCACCCTCCCTCCTGCTCACAGCTGGTCAGTGGGGATCTCCCTTTGCCTCCTCCCGCAAAATGCTGGCGCTCCGACCACGAGTCTCCTCCACCTGTGCAGGTTGGGTCAGGCCCCGTTTCTCCATCATGAAGGTGATGACGGGCGCAGACACCAGAAGAAGCAGGACCAGGGCACAGCGGGCAGCCCAGATGGAGAGGGACATGGCCGGCCCTGCAAATGGAAAGAGACACGGTGATGGCCATGTGCAAAGCCGCGTGTGGGACTGCAGTGCCAGTACTGGACACACAGCAGCAGCTCTGTAATGGGGACCCCATGTGAGCTCCCTGAGGCCTAGATCTAAGGGGGGATCAGGCTGCAGGGGGCACGTTCCCCCGAGGGGAGCCCTAAGTGATGGCGCTTCTTGGGGAGGGTCCACCCTTTGCCCCAGCACTGGGTCACTCTTGCCGCAGTTTGCTCAGGCTACACCCGGATTCTGTGCAAAGGCCTCACAAGAGCTTGTGACAGACACAGCAGCCCAGACCCTATCGCCCCTCTCCAGTGAGGCTGGCAGTTCACCGCGGGGGTGACTCCGCCCTGGGCAGAGGGACAGAGTGAGGCCTTGGTGCCAGCTGTGCCCTCAGAAAAGGGTGAAAGTGGGAAGTAACCAATTCCATGTGACTGTCATATCCTTCTGTCCTGGGGGAATTGCAGCGACAGAGCCCAATTCGTACTACGGGTGACTGTGCTGCAGACTGAGGAGTTATCCACCCTGGGGTGAGTTTGTCCCAGACTTTATGCCCTGAGGTCAGAGCTGGGGGCACAGAGCCGGGCTCTGATAATCAGGGTGTGACACAGCAATAGCCCGTTACCTGTGCGGGTTGGCTCCTCCCCTCCTCCGCTGCTGCTCGCGCTGCCTGTGGGACAAGAGCAAAGAGAATCGCACCGTGTGGGAGAGACGCCTGCAGCCTCCGCAGGGACGCGCCTCCCAGCGACAGACAGAGCGGTTCTGCCAGCCACTGGGGCCAGATCCCTCGTGGGTGTAAATGAGTATCACACTACTGGAGTCCATGGGCCAGATCCCCAGTAGGTGTAAATTGGTGTCCCTCCATTGGAGTCCATAGGGCTGTGCCAGTTTACACCAGCCGAGGAGCTGGTCCCTGATTCTGCCCTTGTTGTAACTGCTGCAGGCAGAGGAGTTACCCCAGGGGTGAGTTTGGCCCAAAGTCTCTATGCAGCGAGGGGAGAACTGGGGGGACGGAGCTGGGCTCGGATCCCCGGGGTCTGGCCCAAGAGCGTCTCCGTGAGCTGTGGGGTCTGCCTCCTCTCCACTGCTGCTCGCCTGGCCTGTGCAATGGGGACAAGGAGAATCTGGGCCTGTCAGTGCCTCCAGGTGACACTCAGTGTGTGAGAAATGTGGCTGTGATGGCTGAGCCCAGCCCCCTGCATCAGTCAAATGGGACATGACTGTTCCCCGAATGGGAACCTCCCCAAAGGGGCTCCCCCTGGCTCTGTCAGACCTGCCAAGTGTCACACATACTATGGACATTTGGCAGCCTCATCTCACCTGCGTAGAAGCTGTGGGTGTGGGCCTGGACTCCCCATGCGGCGTCCTGGGGTCTGGGGTTACTCTCAGCTACAAGCCAGGAGACCCTGTGCTTTAGGCCCAACTCTCCCACTGAATGTTATTAACTTCTCTGTGCTATCCACTAATGCACTCTTAGTGCTAGCCAAGAGCTCATGCCCCTACAGTATAGGTGACAGCTGTCATTTACCCCTTGTCATGGGCATCATTTGGAAGCCTCAGACAGGCACAGAATTTGTCCTCCAGGCCATGTGAGGCCCCATTGGCATGACTGGAGCTCCTCCCCCTTCCCCCCCCCCCACCAAATATAGAAGTCACACTACCCCTTGTACAGATAATGAAGGGTTGCACAAGCTCACACGAGGCTTGCACAAGCTCACAGCTGGGACTAGAGCAAAGGACTAATACAGCAACCCCCAGTCTCATCCACTTTGTCTCGCTGCCTTTCAGAGGGGATGTGCCAGATTTATGTGCTTGGCTGTGCTGCCTCTAACACTAACCACAGTCTGCTCCCGAAACCAAGAACAGAACCCAGGAGTCCTGGGAACCAACATCCCACTGCTGTCTCATTAACAGTTGCATGAGCCTCTAACAAAGTAAGTGTCGTGTCTCCAACTAGGGTCTGATCCGCATGGAGTACAACAGCCTACTTCTTCTGCGTGACACCCCTGTCACTCAGCTATCTGCATCTGGATTCTCTCTCTGCCATTGCATGGATTATTGTACTCACTGTGCCATTCATCCGCCTTACCGGTGACACTGAGGTGCTGGGCAGGGCTGAGCAGGGATCCATTCACCCGGTTGTCGCTGTCCTTGATCTCATACCCACAGGAGTAATTCCCAGAGCTGCCCATGGACACCACATGGACATAGTCATAGGTGATCTTATCCTCCAAGCCCCTCTGGGACGAAACCTCCTCCCCGTCCTTACAGAAGACGATGCGGGTGGCTAGGAGCTGGGAGAACACAGAACACTGGAGCAACACGGAATCCCCCTGTTGGGCGGACGTCGGGCTCAGGTAGAGGGTGGGGGCAGGAAGAGCGCCTGGGAAGGGGAATGGGTCAGAGCTGTCAATGGGGCTGTCAGTGGTGCCCATTTCAGGGAAAAGGAAGCCCCTTGCCCAAAGGAAGTTTGTTGCCGTGGAAGCAGTTTGCAGCTGCTAGGTGGTTCCTGAGCTACGGAGGAATTATGAAATAGCCCCCGGGGAGCCTGGGATGTTCCAAGTGGGGATTGTGGGAGTCTGGAGAGTTTGGCCTCTCTTCCAACAATCCCCCTGGCCACCGTGAGGTCACTGTGCTATCACCCACAATTCTGGGAAGGCACAGCTGTGAACATAACTGAGTGCAGGAGTTGGGTAGCCGGGACAGCTGAGTGGGGTGTGAATGCTGTGTGGGATGCATGGCCCTGTCCGAGCGATGGTTGGGAAAGCCCACGTGCATGGAGGTCAGTGCGGGTAGCTCCATAGTGCTAACACCCCTCCGTGGGGCAGGGCAGGAGGAGCTCTGCCTGCTCAAGGGCTGTGGAGTCTGCACAAAGGAGCATCCACTTATTTCAGCACAGCTCAGTACTGGGGGGGATAATGTGAGATCTGAGACTGTCAGCTCTTTGGGGGCAGGGAATGGGTATGCAGCAGCTGGCACAATGAGGTCCTGATCCCTCATATGGGCTTCTGGGGGCCACGGTAATAATAATAATTAATAATAATCTATAATTAGAAGCCTTTTCTGTCAATACAAACCCCTCTGGCAGGTTGGATAGATAGAGGGGTGAGTGTATCTGGGGACGGACAGTCAGATGGACTCACCGGGAGCTGAGCAGATCTCCTGACTGCTGGGACTCAGCGCTGGGAACAGAAAGGTGACATGTGGTTAGTGCTGGAGATAAAATCTCCCTCTTTTTCTGAGGTCCCTCTTCAGGGACAAAAACTGCCTTTAATAGGAAAAAATTCCTTATATGTGTGTTGCTGAAGAAGCAAACCAGGCAGGACGTTAGATCTGGGACATGGCAGGTTCCTCGCACACACAGACCTTGGCTGAGCTGGGACCAACTTTCCCTTTAGCTCTCCATAGGGCCAGGTCCTCAGCTGGTGTAAACCAGCATTGACTCCAGTGGAGCTACACTGATTTACACCAGCTGGGGATCTGGCCCAGTAGCTCTCACACTCAGTGCTTCTACTGGTTCCCATTTCCTTCCCAGTGAAGAGGATTTGCTGACAGTCTGGGCCAGGGGCTGCTCTCGGTTCTGTTTCCTCCCAGCCTGCTACGAATTAGCACAGGATTCCCACATACTCACCGGTCAGCAAGAGGCACAGAGACAGGAGCATCGGGGTGGTGGGGGGAACCGATCGGGATGGAAACAGCTCAGCAGCGTCTCCTCCTGATGGGGTCAGCAGGGCACAATCCACAGTCGCACCCAGATCCCACCTGCCCCCCCTTCTCTGTCCAACTTAAGGAGAAGGGAAGCTCTGGTGTCTTTCTGCATCGATCTTCCCACATCTGCTTCCCAGGGCTGGATACTCCAGCCAGGACCTCTCCCTGCTCCCAGCCCCCCTGCAGTCTGTAGGGCTCAGGCAGCAGAGATGTCACAGTCTCTGTTTGACCTGCTCTGTCCCCTCCTCAGGTCTGATATTCGTCACCGCTCCCTGTTTCCTGCCCTGCGCTACCTCCCTTCCCCGCTCTGGCCACAGTGTCTCTATTTAGGGCTGGAGGACTGAGAACTGAAGGGGCCTGGCGTGCTTGCTTGAGTCTAAACATATCACTGAGGAAATGCCCCTGTCCAAACTCACTGCTTGGGGCCAGGGTGAAAGGTCACTGGGTGATTGGGTGCCTGGGATGTTGGATTAGCCTGAATCGTTTGCCTCCACCCTAGTCTCCTGTCCCTGGCAAGAGGGACCCAGCTCCCCGAGGGGGAAATTCACCTTCTGAGCTTAAGAGGGACATAAATGGGGCCTGGGCCTTGTATGGGACTCATGGCCCAGCGGTGATTTCACCCCCAGAGAACACCATCTGCACTGGTTTCCCTACATGCTTAGTCTCCACCTGCCCTGTCCTCCACACCCAGCTCCAGCCACTTCTCCCCATCCAGCCCTGACTGCCCGTGCTCCCCATTCTGGGCTGCTGAGGGGTCTGCTGACCCTGCTGAGAGATCACTGCTGGATGGGGAAGAACACAAGGCAGTTGAGAAAGAGCATCCAGAAGTGACCTCTGAGCAGGTGGGAGCTGGAATCAGTGTGACTTAGGCTATGTCTACATTACACAACTTTTGGTGACACGGCCGTGCTGCTACAGCCATGCTGCTAAAAGGCGTGCAGTGTGGCCACTGTTTGTCGGCTCTCCTGCCAACAAAAAGCTTCCACCCAAATGAGCAGCGCTTGTTGTCGCCAAAATGTTGTCTTTTTTCGGTTGTGTTTTTTTTGGGGGGGGGTTGTCGTCACCAACATTTTGTCATGGGGGAGTGTTTTTAACAACTGTAAACAACAAAAATGTTGTCTTTCACTCGCCAGTGTAAGCAAGTGGGGGAACCAGGCCAAAAGGCCAAAGAAACATGTGAGTAAGAAAGAAACTCTTGTGAATAGATGATGATACGTCTGCGGGAAGCCAAACAGCAGAGGGCGTCAAGGGAAATCTGTCAGGATGACAAGTTTTGCAGAGCAACTTTTCATAGTAATTGAGGCAGAAGTGGATTGTCCTGGGATGGTGGCTGGGCACATTTCACCCCTGGGATGGAATCAGCTCTGCAGAGCAGCTGGACTGGAGATGTTTGGGGGAGCTCAGCTGCTCAGTGAGTCCTGAGGGTCAGTGGAACACAGGGTGAGACTCCCTGTTAGAAGCAGTGCCCAGAAGACGTCAGAGTAAAAAAGGGTAAATATGTTTGGCAGTATTTTTAAAATCATTGTTTCAAAACCATTTGTGAAGAATTTTTTTTTTGACATTTCCCCCCATTTTTCTCCCATTCTTGGTGCCAAAATGTAAAAACTGGAGGGAGGGGAAATCCAAAAGGTGCAACTTTAAATAAATGTCTCTGCAAACATTGTTTTTTTAATGTAAATTTTCATTTTTTCTTTTAAGTTTTCAGTTTTGTTTTTACAAAACTCCCAAAACAGTTTTAATTTTGTCTTTGAAAATATGGAAACTTTGGAAACAATGAAAATGTTTGACAAAAACTCTCACTGAAAAATCTGTGCTTTTAGCTCACAACATTTTGGCGGCTCCAGCCCAGAGTGATCCCCGGGGCTATGGTTCAGGCTGGGCTGCTGGTACCTTTGGATGGCAGCCGGGCCCTGCTTGGAGCTCAGACAATGCTGCCCAGAAGGGTCCTGATCCAAGGCCCATTAGTGTCAATGGAAAGACTCCACTGACTTCACTGGCCTGGGGATCAGGCCGCCGTGTAAGAGGGTCGGTTCTCTTGTGACAGAGAAATGGCTCCGGAGCTTTCACTTGGAGTGACTCCAACCCAGACCAGCCACAGGAACAGGGAAAGTCTCCACCATGGGAGGGTGAAGGGGAGGTTGATGACAGGCTCATGAACAGTGCATAGCAGGATGTGAAGAAGGGGAACTTACTTACCTCATCCCCCAGCGAGAGCTGCAAGTGCAGCTGAAACGTGAAGCAAGAGCATCCAGAGTGAGTTCCTCCTGCTGCACAGACCCTGCAGCTGCCTCACTGCACAGACCCTGAAAGGAGCAAAGAGACGGCTCCACACAGGAGAGAAATGACCAGGGCTCCTCTCTACGCTAGTGCTTTAACAGAGCCGGCACTGGAGAGATTAATAGATAGATCGAAATATAGATAGATCAATATATAGATCGATGGCTCTGTATGGGGATAGAGGGAGACAGTCAGAGAATGTATATGGGGATAGATAGATACAATATTGTTTTTAAATACCGTGCTTGGCTTATCACATTGTTAAGCACAGAGGCCAAGGCTTTCAAAAACTATTAGTGATTTTGGGGGTCCCATTTAAGCCACCTTAAAGGGGCTGATTTCCAGCAGGGGGCAGGGGCTCAGTGCAGTTTGTCTGTTATCCCTTAAGATGTCTCATGCTGGGCTCCCAAAATCACTGGCCTTTTTGGAAGGTTTGGCCAGAAGTGTTCATTATAATTACACGTGTGCCAAATCAGTGTGTGAAACCAGCTGTATGGGAGCAAAAGGCTGCGTCCCCATGGCCCATTCTATCCTTGGCCCTCGGGTGAGACTGCATTTGAGGGTGATCAGTGACAGCTGTGATGGGGATTTTGTGATAAAGCTCCTCTGGCACAACCACACTGCGCGGACACTGAGCGGCCAGTCCAGTTCTCAGCTGCCCCAGCCTTCCCTGCAGGGTGAACATTGATCATTTCCTGCTGAGGCAATAGAGGCAGCTGTGTGAAAGCTGTGGGCCCCCTGACATGTTCCCAAAGCAGATGGACTCAATCCAGCACCTACCCCCATGAACAACCCAACCCCTGCCACTATGGTACTTCCCGGGAAGTTAACTTGTATCAGCTCCAATGTGTACAGCTCCAATTACACCAATTACACCAGTTTATCTGGTTTAATCTTATGTTGTTTTATAAGCAATATAAATTATGCAGTGTATATTTTTGACAGTGAGGATAATTAATCATGGTACCTGCCTTGAGGGCCAATGACCCCAGGCTATTTCGTCCAAAGAGGGGAAGCACCTGGAGACTGGGAAATGGGAAATGTCAGAATCACAGGCTGGGAACTCTTCCACAGCGGATTTAATTGATCTCACAGAGCATCCCACCCCTTATTGCTTCTGGGCTAGATCCTGCCTCTCTCCCACTGGCCCAAACCCCAGGGCAGGCAGGGCAGAATTAGACCCCTTTCTCCAGCCCTGGTGGGAATATTAATGGAGCCAGAGACTGCGGGACTAGAGAATGACTGGCTGCTGCTCAGAAGAGGGAAAAGAGAGGAGAGTCGGTGCCGGGAGCAGTGGCTCCTGTTCAGCGACTCTCTGCAAACACAGTCCAGCTGCTCTGTGCAGCGAGGGAACCACAGGGCTCCAACACCCTGAGCATCTGCAAATCCTCTGTGCAGACCCATCTTCCCCCTTCCAGCAGTGAGCTCTCCCCAGGTCTGACCCTGAGCCCAGCGGGGTGGGGGTGTATCACACGCTCTGATGTGGGATTGAATAAACCACTTACAGTGTTATTTTTGTCTTCACATGCTAACCTGCCTCATTCTCTCTCTCTCTCTCTCTCTCTCCATTTAGGCTGTTCTCACGAGGTTTCCAGGGGAATTTATTTTCAGAGTTGTGCATTTAAAGGCCAGAAGGGATCAATGGGACCATCTAGTCAGAGTGTCTGTAAAGCCCAGGCCAGAAAATCTCCCCCAGGGATCCCTGCATTGAGCTGCTAACTTCTGGCTGAGCTGGAGCCTGTCTGGTAGAAAGAGACATCCCCTGTCGGTTTAAAGACTCCAAGCTGGCTCCCATTTCTAAATACTGAGATGGTTGTGGCTGATCAGTGAAGAGGGGACCAGGGGCAAGGGAGATGCTGGACTGGGACAGCGCAACTGGAGATGGGCCCTGAGGTTTAGCTCCAGCTGTGGGTCCTAATCTGACCTTCCCCAGAGTTTGGGGGTGTGGACTTAGGGTTCTGGTTTGAGCCTATTATAGAGACAGCCCCAAAGTCTGGGTGTGGGGAGTCTCCCTCTGAGCAAAAGTGCACTAGGTACCAGATAAGATGATCCACAGTCTGACTGAAGAGGGGAAGAAGATGCTTAATTTTGGGTAGCTGAGGCACGTAAGGGTAAGTGGGCAAGAGGGATGAGGTGGAGCTGTTGGTCTTGGCAGAGATTTCAGGTAGCTCAGTGGAGCATCTAGATCTGGTATGTAGCTAAGGCCCGACACTGACAGACTGACTGGGCAGCTAGGCCAGGCCACAGACATACACGAGATAGACTGTAAGAAAGGATTTTGGAAAGTTTAACACTCCAGTTCAGAGTATAATCCACGGCAGATTCTCAGGGCAAGGATTGTGCTGTATGAAATCTGACTGTACTGTGCCAGCCAACCAAGGGTACTGAGGAAACAACACATTCGTAATGATGCCTGCACCAGGGCCTGCTGAGAATTTTACATCAAGGTCTTTTGTTGATAGAAAACTAGATTTTGACTGAATGATTTTTTTATTTTTATTTGTGGCAGTCTCTGCTTTCTTTGAACATTTTAAATTTTTCGTTGGAAAACCAAAAGCCCCAAAATATTTTTGGTTTTGGAAGTTTTCAGCTGAAAATTTTCATCGTTCATTTGTCGAAACCTAATGTTTCAGGTTATCAGTTTTTCAATGAAAAGTTAACATTTTATTGCTGAAAATATCAATGGAAATTCATTTAAATTTTCCACAAGGAAAATAATTCCATTCTATTCCCTGCTCTAAAGTGCACCATGTTTAAGCCCTACAGGGTCACAGGTGGAATCTGCCAATGCTTTGTTCCACCCTTTGTCCACATGACTTCCCTGTGAAGTTCTAAAAGTTAATTCAGATTAGCCTGAAGGCCTCTGTGACTAGTGTGGGAATGTGGGTGCAGGCCCTTGTTGGAGCACTAGGCATAACTAACAGTATGAAGCAAAGGCTGTGAACTGAAGTAGGCCTGGCCTCCGGAGAATAGCAACACACTGGGTATTGGCTAACCAAGTAATCACACTACTGACCTGAGAGAATGGTTTAGGGACACACAGAGGTCTCAAGTAACACCATAAATACAGACTTAAGAAATGGCACAGAAACATACCTACCGCTCCTATGGATAAAGAGGGATGACAAAATAATGGATAAGAATGCTTGTTCAAACTAGCAGGAACAAGTAGAAACAGTGGTGATAAGGGTGTGATGTTGCACTCCATATGGTTATGGAAATATGCTGATGAGTGTGAATATAATGTAACTGGAATATGCTTCATGCAAAAGGTCTCTTCTAAGGTATCATTACAAAGTTTATGATTTACTGAGTGTGTTCATCCTATTTGTTTGCATGTATTATATCTATGTCAGGAGTTAGGAAAATAAGATATAAACTTGTATTACTGATGTAAACATGTTAAGTGGAAGCCATTAAGAGTGCTTCAGAATCAATGAACTGTGAATGGGTTTGTTTCCCTGCAAGCCATTCTGTGTACGTACATTCTGGCCAGCTCCTAGGTAATGAAGAAGGAGGTCTTACAGTGACATGTGACCATGTCACCTGAACTGGAATCGATCTTAAACCTGGTGCTTTTCCATTTAGAAGGAGGGGTGGGGATCCAGAGCGACAAAAGATTCCCGCCTTGTGCCAAAGATATAAAAGGGGGTGAAACAGAACAAAGGGAGCTGCCAGTCATGAGAACAACCCTAGTTTCCATCTAAGATGTCTGCTAACAAGTATTGTACCAGGGGAAAGGATTGGGCCCAGACTATGAAGGAGTCTAGTCTGTGAAAAAAGCTTATTGGGAAATCTCTAAGGGTGAGATTTACCTGTAAACAGTTCCTTAATGTATTAGGCTTAGACTTGCGTGTTTTTGCTTTACTTTGCTTGATGATTTACTTGGTTCTGTCTGTTATTACTTGAAACCATTTAAATCTTACTTTTTATATTTAATAAAATAACTTTTGTTTATTAGTAAACCCAGAGTAAGTGATTAATACCTGGGGGAGCAAACAGCTGTGAATATCTCTCTACCAGTGTTATACAGGGCAGACAATTTATGAGTTTGCCCTGAATAAGCTTTATACTGGGTACATGGCGCACTCAGGAGAGGAGGTGGAGGTGGGGCGGTAGTGGAGGTGAGGTGGGGGCAGGGCAGGGAGCATGGTGCAGAGTGCCAACTAATTTTTCCCCATGGATGCTCCAGCCCCGGAGCACGCATGTAGTCTGTGCCTATGCAGCAGAACTATGTTGACTGGGGTGTGTGAATTTTTCACTTTCCTAGCTGAGATGGCTGTGCCGGCAGACCTTTGTAGTGTACACTAAGCCCCAGAATGGGCTGCAGCCTCTTAGCCCACAATAAAAATTACCAACTGTGTCAGAGGAAATACAAATCAGTTACCTTGATAAGGCGGATTCTTGGTCGTGCTGCTCCTGGAATTGGCACCTGCGCAGATAGTGCAAAAGCAGAAAATAGTTGGTACAAGAACAAATGGGGATAAAGTGGCCAGGAACAAATTCAGGCTGGAAATGTGAAGAATGTTTCTAAGCATCAGCGGAGGGAGCCTCCGAATGAGAAGAGTGGAGGGCAAACACGGTCACTAGTTTGAAGACAGAGCTTGGTAAACTTATAAAGGGGATGATAAGATGGGATTACCTGCAATAGCAGGAGCTAGATTTGCTGTGGAAGGAGGCCCCTTCTAGTCCTGTGCCCCATGATCCTATGAGTGACCCTCCTTGGAAATACTGAGCCAGCCCCTTAATCCTCTCTTTATCTTAATGGGGGTGTTTCCAGATGCGACAGAGGAACTGAAGAAATGTTTTGTAGCCTCAGGCCATATTAACTTTATACTGGATTTCCCACAGGGCTCAGAGCAACAGGGGGAACTGCCCCCTCAAGTCAGAGAGTCAGAGTTGCCGGAATTGGCTAGATTTTTAAAACAGCACAGCTCCCGTTTAGACACAGTAATAAGTGGCCTATTTACCAAAAGACTGAAGCTTATTGGGAGCACACTGGTGTTCCCCATGTTACTAACGTATGTTCCTAAACATCCACATTGACAACATGTTAGAGCTGCTCTAATGTTTTTTCCCTGAAAATGTTTTTCTTCATGAAAAATGTCTTTGCGACCAAAGTGAACATTTTGAAAGTGAATTATTTCTTGGTTTTCCAATGAAAATTTCTGTAATCATGTTTGAGTTTTGGTAGAAATTGTCATTATTTCATTTAAAAAAAAAAGATACCTGAAACCAAAAAATGTTACTAACAAAATCTTTGATTTCTGTTTTTTCATCAAAAAAGTGGAAAAGTTTCACAGGAAATTTTGAAAGAACTGCAAAGTATTCAAAACTTCCTGTAGAAAAATAGTCCACAGATTTTTGTCTCTAGTCATTTTAATTTCTAATAACAAACAAGTGCAATGTTTTATCCTTTAAGTAGTTAGCACCCTCTTACCTGTGACCTTCAGGTACCGAGCGATGCTCAGCAGAGAATTTAACACCTGGTTATTGTCCTTTCTGTACATGTATCCACAGGAAATATTGCCTGAGCTGCCAGCCACTCTGTAAGCTAAATCATAAGAGAATTTTCCTCTCCTGGCTTCCAGCCTTGAAATTTCCATCCCATCCTTACAAAAGAAAACAATGTTGACAGGGGCTCCTGCAGGGATTAAACATCTGCCGCTAACAGTGTCCCCCTCATTAGCAGAGATTGTCCCCAGGAACATCTCAGCAGCAGGAAGTGTGCCTGGAAAAATAAAAACTCAGTGACTCATCATGCTTAAGTGGCTCATTTTCACATCATCAAGGACCCATTGACATGAATGAGTGCAGGATGAGATTCTGCTAGAATTACTGAACCAATTGTCAGAGAGAAAATGTTTAGACTGAGATTTTCAAAGTAGCCTAATGGCTCAAATTGCCTAATGCCTCAAATTGCCTTTAAACAGACTGGAAATCGAGGGGCCTGAACCCCCAAGGACCCTTTAATGGGATTTCTTTTGATAGCAGGGGATTGGAGGCCATGACCCAGGAGGATCTTTCCAGTCGTATGTCCAGTGTTACTAAATACATTTGCAGATCGGGCCCTTAGGTTCTTTGCGAAATGCAATATTCTACTTTAGTTTTATGTCCCGATCTTGCAATGAGTTGTGCAGGGGCAACCTTCTGCACCGTGTGGAGTCCATTGACATTAATGGGACTCCATGAACTACACAAAGTTCACCGCAGGATCCAGAGCTTGCCTGCCCCTCAGTCAAATTTTATTCTCACACTGGAGAAACCTCACTGAGGTTAACTGAGTTTCATTAGTTGGTTTTACTTCTGCCCTTGCTTTGAGCAAACACTCACCAGAAGAAGTGCAGCTGGAATCCTGCTGTTGCTGTGAGGCAAAGCTCAGAGCTTGGGAAAGAAAAGCAAATGTATTTTAGGGAAAAGAAATGAAATAAAAGAATAAACACTTTATTTTATTTTGCAAAGTAGAACTTCCCTGAAGTGCAAATGAAATGAAGTTTATGAGTGAAACTAAGATTCACTAAGATATTTCACCCCATTGGCTGCTCTTTAGGAAGTGTAGCTATTAAACTACATCTAGAATTGGTCACATTTTATACATGATCTTTTAAATTAAATGTTCGGTCTTGTTTTTTAGAAAGAGAAATGCAAAGTTTCTCCTCATCCTTGTCAACAGCAAATTTCTCGTGATAATGTCCAATGAGTTAATCATATTGTCAGTTAAACTGAAAAGACTTTAACTGAATAAGAATGATATCACATCTGTGTAGGTACTTAGGTTGAAAAATTTCCATCAAAACTATTCAATGGAAAGTTGGGATTTTAGCTCAGTAGAATTTTCTTCTGAAAATGTGTCATTTTGGTGGAAATTTTTGACTTTCATGAAAAACCCAAAAAGCTGAAAAACCAGTACTCTTTCAGATAAACCTTTTTGGTGTTGGTGTTTTGTTTTTCAATGAAAAAGGTGATATTTTACATGGAAACTTTTGACAAAAAATACACACACACACATATATATATATATATATAGAGAGAGAGTTTCATTTTGTGTGGAATTTCCCACAAAAAACGAAACAACCCCCCAGCTTGTGTACTTCTATAGTGCTAATCACCATGGTACTAGATTGCTTCACCTCCACCAAAAGCACTCTTTTAAGGAAGGGAAGAATTCTTGTGTAGCCTCTGGTCTTTTTCCTTCCCTTGCTCTAGGGAGCTCTGCTGGGAGTATAAGATATTTTCTCCTTCATTTTGGTTATGGTGGGAAAGTTTACCAAAGGGTAGGGGCCCAAAGGTGATCAGACTTTGTATTTTCTCTGATCTCATCCCACAGAGTCCCATCGCCAGACTATGCCATGTCTCCAGCTCTCCTACACCCTGCCCTGGGCTAGTTGTCCCAGGAAGCATGGCTCCCCTGGAGGGTGATGGATGGAGAAGCAGCCGAGGATGTAGCTGGGACCTGCCTCCATTAGTGGCTTTGAAGACAAGCCCGTGGCAGGCACTGAATGCAGGTTGGGAGCCGGGGGGACTGGAATGGAGGTGATGTGCCCACCCCCAGAGGAGGCAGATGCTCTAGTCTGCCCAAGCTGGAGCCTTTGCATTTGGCTTGAGGGTCAATGGAACAAATAGACTGAGCCAGGCCCATGTGAGCAGCTGTATCCAGCCTGTTCAAGCCTCACCTCACTTCTAACTGGTGACTCTTTAAACTCTGCATCGCAGAGCGTCCCAGTCCAGGGTGCAGGACTAACCTCTCATTTACACTATGGCCCTCTGGCAGGGCACAGGGGCCCCAGAGAGATGCACCTACGGCAATCTGAAAAAGGGCCTGCGTCTGCTCTCACTCACAGTAGTTCTGCTCTAGTTTAATTCCACTGGGCCCGATCCTTCATCACTCTGCACCTGGTGGGGTTCCCGTCCTGATTCGGTGTAAATAATCCCACAAAGGGGCAAGGCAGCTGCTGCTCCTGGATATCAGTGGGGCGAAGGAGAGGGGAACCAGGCTGAAACTCACCATGCATCGTTTCTCAGAGCTCCACACGCACACAACACAGCCAAGTATCACGATACTCACAGAGAAGCCACAGACACGGTGAGAGAAGCCCTGTGGGATTCGCCATCGGCTGCCCAGACTGAGAACTCTGGAGTGGTCTTTGCTCCCCACGGCAGGGCCTGCGTCCTGCTCCGGCTCCTCCAGAGCATCACAATGTGGAGAAAGTGCTGCTGCTCTGAGCCTTGCTCTGATCCCTTTTGCTCTTCCGGTCATGGGTGGATAAGGTGCACGTCAGCTCTCTGTTCTGCACTTCCCTCTTCTCCTGGAGGCTTGTGCAGCTCAGCAGCAGCCTCTCTGCCCTGCTCCCTGAGTAGGTGCAAGAAAACCCACAGTTTCTTCCCACGCTGACCTCTCTCCTTCTCCTTGGGGTGAGGCAGTGGGAATGCTGCTGCAGGCCTGAGCTCTGAGCCTGCTCTTGCTTATAGCAGATCGGGAGGAGAATGTGCAGTTTCTCTCTCAATTGCAGGTCACTCCAGATATCAATGTGAGTTTGCAGTGCCAAGAATTTGGTCCAAAATGGCACAAATTTCACAAGAGGAATTGGACTTGAGAAATTTCTGATCTCTCGGGCCAAACCTCTAGCAGATCCCCCTTCTGGATTAGATTCGTTCCTCAAATCAAAGATGTAGGGATAGGTTCCAAGCTGGCGATTTGCGAGCAAGTTACTTCACCTCATTGTTCCAGTTCATGTAGATTGCAGTATGCTTTATGCAAAAGGCCTCTTGTAAGCTTATAATCGATTGAGTTGGTTTATCCTATTTGTATGTATGTATCATTCTTGTATCTAAAACTAGAAATATGACGTATTACTCTGAGGTCCTATTGTAATTATGCAAAGTGTGGGCCATTAATGGTGGCTCCGGATCTTGATGGCTCCCATTAACTAGGACAACTGGTTGTAAATGGCTCTGTTTACTTGTAAGCTTTCCTGTGTTCCTGTGAGTCAAGCCAGGAAGAATGGAGGCTTGGGGTCTCACAGGACATGTGAACTTGCCACCTGGTACTGGAATCAATCATAAACCTGGTGCTTTTCCATTTAAAAGGAAGGGTGGGAACCCAGAGAGAGACAGAGGATTCCCGCCTTCTGCCAAAGATATAAAAGGGGGTGGAACAGAACAAAAGGGGCTGCCAGTCATGAGAAATACCTGAGTTACCACCTGAGCTGGAACTAACAAGAACTGTACCAGGGGAAAGGATTGGGCCCAGACTAGGAAGGAGTCTAGTCTGTGAAAGAAGTTTATTGGAACATCTCTAACGGTGAGATTTACCTGTATTCAGATTCTTAAATGCATTAAGCTTAGACTTGTGTGTTTTGTTTTATTTTGCTTGATAACTTATTTGTTCTGTCTGTTATTACTTGAAACCACTTAAATCCTACTTTTTATACTTAATACAATTACTTTTGTTTATTAATTAACCCAGAGTAAGTGATTAATACCTGGGGGAGCAAACAGCTGTGTATAACTCTGTATCAGTATTATAGAGGATGGACAATTTGTGAGTTTACCCTGTATAAGCTTTATACAGAGTAAAACAGATTTATTTGGGGATTGGATCCCATTGGGAGCTGTGTGTCTGGGTACCGGAGATGGGTGACTTGGTGAGCAGTTTTTGGTTAAAGTCTGCAGCTTTGGGTGTGTGGATAAGACCTGGGTCTGTTTTGCAGCAGACTAGCGTGTCTGGCTCAATAAGGCAGGTTTCTGGATTCCCAAGCCATCAGAGAAAACTGGTTCAGAGGTAATTCCAGCACATCAGGTGACAGCCTCAAGGGGGTCTCTGTGACCGAACCCATCACAAAGGGTAGTAACTGACAAGATCTAAAGTGGAATACAAGACTTCTTTATATCAATGTATGAAAGAAGAACTCATAGGAGAGGCATCTTTGTACTAGTCTAGACACAGCATTCTGGTGTCCTGATTGAACTGGTACCTTGTCACAGGCATACATGTGTTAGTGGATCTGCAGCTCCCAGAGGGCACTAGGACTGTGCTTTGTTGACAATCAACCTGGCCACGCGCCTTCACCACAAAACCGAGCCTGTGGTCTTTCTTTGGAGTAACATTGAGGACTGCTGAATCAACACACTGCACCATCTGCTAGTGCAGCTGACATCAGAGAACAGCAACACTAGCAGCATTACCAATGCTGCAGCACCAGCAGCACTTAGCAACACAAACAACAGGTGATAATTGTACAATCATAGACATGTCAGGCTGGAAGGGTGTCACATTACTGACTTGAACTGGGTTCATATAGAACATGGTTGCAACCAAGGTCCTGTAGTGGCACCAAATCTTGTATAAAGGGAGTCAAATAAGGTGTCTAAGACAAGGTTATGGTTTGCTGGTTATGATTATGTGATCTGTATGCATGTATCATTTTTGTATTCAAAGTTAGAAGTATTGGCTCTATACTGTCTGTATTTCAAACTTGTGCTATGCTTCTGGGTGACACCGTAGACAAGTTGGTGTCAGCTCTTCCTAGCCTGCTTGATGGTCCATTAAGGACCATCAGCTATACAACTGACCCATTGACAGAAAGCAGATACGCCTTGTGACTTAGCAAGGCATGCAGGGACATGCCTAAGGACAGAACTCTGAGGTTTTTCCATGCCATGTGCTCGACAGCTTGTTTTTGGGACAAAGAAAGCAGAGACCACATGGCAAGAGACTATAAAAAGCTGGTGCAGCTCCTCCATCTTGTCTCCAATCCTGCTTCATAGCTCTGGAGGGACTTTGCTACAAAAGGAAGCGCTATACAAAGGACTGATGACCCATCCCAGCTGTGGATGTACTCCAGTGACTTGATTTGAACCTGCAGTTTATTCTATCACTGCTGCAATCCTGAACCAAGAACTTTGCCATTACTGTATGTAATTGATTCCATTTAACCAATTCTAGCTCTCATCTATATCCTTTTCCTTTTATGAATAAACCTTCATATTTTAGATTCTAAAGGATTGGCAATAGCGTGATTTGTGGGTAAGATCTGATTTGTATATTGACCTGGGTCTCAGGCTTGGTCGCTGATCTTGGTCAGGGATCGAGAGAACCTTTTTTCTTTTACTGGGGTTTTGGTTTTCATAACCATTCATCCCCATAATGAGTGGCACTGGTGGTGATACTAGGAAACTGGGGTGTCTAAGGGATTTGCTTGTGTGACTTGTGGGTAGCCAGTGGGGTGAAACCAAAATCCTCTCTGTCTGTCTGGTTTGGTTTGCCTTAGAAGTGGAAAAACCCCAGTCTTGGGCTATAACGGCCCCACTTTAAGCAATCTGTCCTGAATTGGCACTCTCAGTTGGGTCCCACCAGAACCAGCATCGTTACAAAGGGACCTCAAGAACTCATGAAGTCCAGCCCTCTGCACTGAGGCAGGTTGTTCTTCTCTGGATTTTCTCTAATTTGTTCACATCTTTCCTAAATGCTGAGTTCAAAACCCTGCTCCAAAGTGGGGTTCCAAACATGGGTCTCCCACATCCCAGGCAAATATTGAATTCCTGGGCAAAGATTGGGAGGGGCAGGCACTTGAGCTTTCATGAGTCAGGGCCAGAGGTCTGTATGGCATGCAGAGATGTGTGCCGAGCTTGCCAAAAAATACTCAGTGGAAGAGTTTTCAGTCAGAAAATGCTATTTCTTCAAAATTAAAACCTTTTGACAAGGGCGTGACCGGGATCCTAGTGGGGAGCCAGCTGTGGTCACTCAATTATGGAGAACTGCAAAGAATGGGGCAGACAATCCCCAAAAACCTGGTGGATATTCCAATACTTAGATTTCCCAAGCCAGCATAAAACAGCTTCTTTATTTCCTCACTGGTTATTCAGAAGTCCAAACAACACAGTTCCCTTAAAATGATCCAGCCTCAGGCCTCCATCTAGGCACCTAAGTCAAATATGATGATTTCTGAAAATCTTATTTCATCATATAAAAGAAAAGGTTCTTCCAATCCCAAAGGATCGGACACATTATCTCTCAGGTTCTTGAATATTCCAGATCTTACCCAAATACATGCTACAGCCAATTCTTATTAACCAAACAAAAATGTGTTAAAAAAACGACACAGAGAGAGAGAGAGAGAGAATGGTTAAAAGATATATACATACAGACATGAGTTCAATTAATTGAGGTTCAGATTCATAGCAGAGATTGTGAGCTTTGTAGCTGCAAAGAGTTCTTTCAGAAATAGTTCTTAGGTTATAGTCCAATGTCCAAATATCATATTCAGGGTGTACCAGCATAACTGGGACTTCAGTCTTGCGACTCAAACTTCCCCCGAAGAAGCCTAAGCAGATCTGAGATGACAGAATCAGTATCCAAGGATCTTTTATACAATTTCATGTCTTTTGACAAGTTGGAGATCCTCAGGGAACAAAAGGTAAGTAGGATGACTTTGAAGGAGGTCCATACTTGGTACTTAGCTATACAAATTAACATAAGGCCATTTGCTTGTTCCTCCCCCATTCACAGTACATGTCAAAGAGAGATGAATACTGAGATATCCTGTGTTTACAAGTAATTTAAATTATCAAATCTTCTTTTGACCTCTGAATTATCAGAATACAGCATAGAAAGGGACTGTGGATTACATTGTCCACCCTACTCATACATATGTAAATAGACAAAAACACAAACATTATCTCCCCACATGTCTTTTGAGGGTTATTTATTTTGCAGGATGTTTAACCCTTTCTATCCATGTGTCACACAAGGCTCTTCAGTCTTCCAGAATTGAAATGCTGCTGGATTATTGTTCCTTGCAAAATCTAAAATTTTGACTTTTCATCCTTATTCAGGATGTGAAAGATCAGAATTTCTCACAGGACAGAAATACTGTGTCCCCAGGAGCTCTTGAAGCACAGATATCATTAGTATCGCTCTGGCAGGAGTCAGTAAGTGATGCTGTTACACAAAGTTTTACATCAGCTTTTCCTTTTCGTGGGAGGGGTGCACATAACCTTTGCAGATATTCTGTGTAGGGTTTGTTTGCTGATGCAGACGCTTTGGGGGAAGCTGGCACAAACAGCCAGGTTTGGGCTCTGCTAAAGTCTGTTCCTGGGGCATGGTTGCTCCCTGGGAACCGGGCACTGGTGCTGGGCTGAGATTCCTGAAAGAGGGGTTTGCCTGCATGCTGTTTGTGACACCTCTGTTCCAGGACTGGAGCACAGAGTGTAAATAACTAATTAC